CTCTGACTGAGGACGTTAGAGCCATGCATGCACATATTGAGGTATGTCGACCTGAATATGTGCAAACCCTAATAAGTGAGCCAACGTCTAAGCATTGGTCTAAACTGGCAGTTTTGACTCTTTGTGAGGTCATCATTTTCAATCGAAGAAGGGAAGGTGAGGTTTCAAAGATGCCACTGACAGCCTTTACCTTAAGAAGTAAGACTGGGATCCATTCTGACATTGCTCTGGGACTGTCCCAACTTGAGAAAAAGCTGTGTCAGCATTTTCAACGCATTGAAATTAAAGGGAAAAGAAGTCGGAAAGTGCCGGTTCTTTTGACTCCTGAAATGATTGCTTCGATGGAGGTGCTGGTGGAGAACAGAAGGGCCTGTTCCATCTCTGACCATAACCCATACTTCTTTTCCCGCCCGGGCGCAGACACCCACATCAGGGGATCAGACTCCCTACGCCAGGTAGCCAAAGAATGTGGTGCGGTGCATCCAGAGATGCTATCCTCAACCAAACTTAGAAAGCACATAGCTACTATGTCTACAGTTCTCAATATGAAAGAGAATGAGATGGACATACTTGCCAACTTCCTCGGCCATGACATTCGCATCCACAGGCAATATTACAGACTACCAGAGGGGACACTGGAGCTGGCCAAAATCAGCAAAGTGTTGATGGCCATGGAGCAGGGAAGAGTGACGGAATTCGAAGGAAAGAGCCTCGACCAGATACAAATTGAGCCTGAAGGTAATTCTTGATATTATTAAAATATGTATGATTTTTTTCCCCTAAAGGCCACTTGTATTTTTATTTTCTGTGCGACAGGGAGAGCAGTAGAGATCCTCTCACAAACGGACGGGCTAAAAGAAACTTCAAGCGGAGAACCTTCAACCATTCATCCAGATGCACCCCATGGTAGTGGCAGTGCCCCTTCTGGTAAGTGTACCAGGTGGGGGATTACAGCCAGGCTGCTTGGTCCTCACCCTGGGAGTGTATATTGCTAATATATTTTTATTTCTCTCCCTAGAACGTGTAAGAAAGCCATGGTCTGCATCTGAGGTGAAGGCTGTGGAGAAGACCATGACACCTTTCATACAGACTGGAAAGGTCCCTGGGAAGTCTCACTGCCTGGCCTGCATTAATGCCTCACCAGATGACCTTAGACATCGGACATGGAGTGGCATTAAATTCTATGTCAAAAATAGAATCACTGCAATTCGAAAACAAAATCTAAAATAAAATTCCTTTAAAATAGTTGTTTGGTTTCTATTGACTGTTTTGTATTACTTAAAGTCTTGGTAAAAAAAGATTATGTCTATGGGTCCCATTCTGAACGGCCCTGTCAAAGGGACCCACCAGGTAACAAAAACGTGTATGTGTGTGTGTGTGTGTGTGTGTGTATATGGGTGTGTTTCTGTGTGTGCATGTGCAGGAGTGTGTGTTCATGAGTGTGTGTGTGTGTGTGTATATGGGTGTGTTTCTTTGCGTGAATGTGCAGGAGTGTGTGCGTGAGTGTGTGTTCATGAGTGTGTGTGTGTTTCTGTGTGTGCATGTGCAGGAGAGTGTGTGTCTGTGTGCGTGAGTGTGTGTTCTTCTGTGTGTGCATGTGCAGGAGTGTGTGTGTCTGTGTGTTCATGAGTGTGTGAGAGAAAATCTAAAAGCGTACTTTAGTTGTTTTACATTTAATCTCATTATTTAATTCATCAAATAAATAATGTTTCTCTGATGTCTGAGTGCTTTATGCTGACCTGCTCCATGTGCTGCTAATATCACTGATGGCAACAAACAATAATAATAATAACACTAATAACAATAATAAATAAATAAACACAAGGACGAAGGATTGAGAGACTCTTCCAAACATCTTTGAAGCCGGACGTCCCGTTTTAATCAGGATTGCACACATGACTGACTTTAAATTAATGCTGTTTTTAGAGAGTGAGGAATGAGATGTATTTTATTGCATCTGTCGTGTGTAGTGTTTTTTAAAAAGTCTGAAAAAATAAATAAATAGGTACCTCTGCTTTAACAAACATATTTTACAGTGCTTACTCAGGAGGGTCTGGGGCTCGGGGAACAGGTCTCCAAAGCGGTGGTTGAAAATTCGGGCCAAATCCTGCGCGAGCTCCAGATGCTGAAGCTGGTCCTCTCCCACCGGGACGTGTGTGGACCTGAGGGGACCAGAGCGGTGTCATCCATCCAACTTCAGCTCAGACAGTATAGACCTTGTTCTAAAGCCCAGGACGTCATTGGCCTTATTTACACAAACTGTCCTCACATGGTTTTTAACGGTGTCACAAACTTCTGTTAATGGTTCTATAGTGTAGCTGGTGAGATGGTAAACATGTGTCATTCAGCCAACTTCAGCACTGTTGTAGATCATTTTAAAGCTCATTTTAAAAGTCGGCCCCTGGACTAGTCTGGGGAACTAAAGTGGCTCTTACTAAAAAGTTTGGACACCCCTGATTTACACCGTCCACTGCCGACACCCCACGCTACAACCATCTGTCTACGCCAGTGTTTCTCAACCAGTGGGTCGTGGCCAAGAAGCGTGCCTTGAGATTTTGTCTGGTGTGCCTTTGGAAACTCTACAAATTTACTGAAATGGTTAAAGAAATTGGAAGAAAAGAATGTGAATATATAGAAAATGTATGTTTTCTCTGTGTACGTTTATTTAATACACTTTGACGATAATGAATTGTTGATTAAGTGAATGTGAAGTTTAGTTTTTTGCGACATATTCAGCTGATTGTGTGTAGCATGATTTCTTTCTATGGAAAAGATGCCACGGCTCAAAAAGGTCGAGGGACACTGCTCTACGGCGACAAACTCTCACTATGTGTAAGATTAAAACAAGAGAGCTGTACCACAGTTACTTTGGTTTTAATTATGGACAAAGAAAAGCAGCGTTTTCCAGAGTGTGGCCAAACTTAGTCAAAAATACTAATTACAATGAAATCACAACAAGATTATTCTTCATCTTTATGTCATTAAGTTAATTTTAGTTAATATATTTAATTAAAAAACCCCACAACTTCAGAACAGAGCGGGATTTTGTACTGGCTCCGAGGGATTTTCGACCAATCAGGGAGGCCCCCAATGCCGTAGACTTCAGGAAACGCTGAGGTAAGTGTTGGGACTCGGCCGAAAGGTTTTAGAAAGTTTTATACAAACAGAACTAAATGAGTTTTGTCAATCGCTAATTCTTTGACATTTCATTAAAAGTTACTACCTGTCACTATGATTTATACTATTCAATACTTGAACGCAGTATTATTGAGTTTACCGTCATTAAATATGGATTCAAGAAACTAAAAGCTGGGGAACTTTTTGTTTTATTAATAACACAGGGACCGGTCTCAACAGAAAAAAAGTTATTTTAAAATGTAGACAACAAATCACAGCACAACATGTTTTTAAATTAGAAAATGTGTTTTGTATTTTTGTAAGAAAGAGTCACACTGGACACTAGTTTAATCCAGTATTTTTCACTTTTCCGTCTGAAAAATCTGATTGTAACATATTGTAGAGATAGAATCAAAGTGAAAGCTCAGAACTAGCTCAATGGATTGTATGATGGTTTGAAAGTTACGCACCCCAGCTTTAACTACAGTTCACTGCCTTTTGAATGCAGGAGATAAAATACAGAGAAATAGAGCTTCACACACTTTGGCTCCGTCTCCCAGAGCAGTAGGACTTTGATGAGACTGATGTGTGGCTCACAGCGGGTGCAGATGTGAACGGATCAAGACAATCTATCACACGACTCTTCTTCTTCTTCTTCCAATAAAGACTTTTTTTAATTTCACGTGAGCGTAGTACAGTGTTATTCTCACTTGTAGAGGAGGATGTCGGCCGCCTGCAGGACCGGGTACGTGTACAGACCCACGCTGCCTTCGTTCTTCTGTTTGCTCTTCATCTGTCGGGACAAAATGGAGGACGTCGTACACAGAGTCGGAACAGGAAGTGACATCACGACATGTTTTGGAAAAGGAGGTCTGGGCTTTTGGCCATGAATGTGATGGATTAAAAAACGTCTATGAGGTTAAACTTGCGTCCTAGTCATGCTGAGATTTTAGATATTTGTGTTTTTTATTTGCAGATGCAGCAGGGTCTAAGAACAGGGGATGATCCAGGACTTTTATGGACATTTCCAGTTACACCAGGCAGGTCAAACTCAGGCTCGAGGGCCAAATCCGGTCCACAAGACAATATCTAGTGGTCCCTAAAATTACTATTATAATTATTAACTTGCAGCATTGATGGTTATTTAAGGGCGGCCAAGACATGTTAAATGGGGCGGCAGGGTGGCTGAGTGGTTAGCACTTTCGCCTCTCAGCAAGAAGGTCCTGGGTTTGAATCCCGGTCGGAACAGGGTCTTTCTGAGTGGAGTTTGCATGTTCTCCCCATGCCTGTGTAGGTTTCCTCCGGGTGCTCCAGTTTCCCCTACCGCTATAAACATGTTCACTAGGTTAAATCCTCCAGCTCTGGTCCTGACCAAGCCGAGCATCAACATCTGGAGATGGGTTCCTGGGCGCTGTTACTACGGCGACCACTGCTCCTGACGTAAGCCTTAGCAGCATCAGGATGGGTCAAATGCAGAGGATCGAATTACCCTACAGGGGTCAATACAGTGCACCTTCACCTTTACTTTATTTTATCCATATATCTTAATCCAACACATCATTTGACGTTAAATAGTGAAATATAAAACTATTTTGTCTGGTTCAGTTAAATTTAACAATAAACACATTTAGATATAAGAAAAATCAAACCGGATAATAATAGTGAATCTCATGCCAAATAAAAGTAATCTAAAAATCTCATTTGGATTTACTGCTAATGGCAAATATCTGAATCTAAATATAATGTAAATAATAATAATGTAAAGAAACAGGAAATCCCTTCTATTTTTTCAGCCCCAGTTCCTATTTTGATTACACTATGGACCCATTACTTTTAAATATTATTGTATTTCTTTGTGTTAAAAATCAGTTGTGTGACAAGCTTCAAGATGAATAAAACTGGTTTGAATCTAAAGATAGATTTTTTGATAATATTTTTCATGATGTTTACCATTAAATATTCTGACATTAATACGGCGTGTGTACCTTTAAATTCATAGCTCCACAAATAAAAGGCTCATATATAAAAAATCTTTTTAAACAATTCTAAACATCTAAATTATGTCGCATTTTATTAACATTTCTGAAAACACACAAAAAGAAATGCATTAGTGTTTGTCCACTAAAAATCTGCTCCAAATATGAGCAGATTTCTAGATTAAAAAAAATACTATTAGAAATAAACAAATAAAAATATAGCACAAATCGCAAACATCAGAACTTCCAAAAACAGGAGAAAAAACCAGAGCTTTTCCCATTCATTAAATTCACGTTTAGTGCAGACACGATAATAACGTCCGTATGAAGTTTGACGCACACACAGTGGAAATATAATCTCTGCAGTAACAGTTATTTGATCATAAATGGTGTATTTGTGTCCAGTGATTGCAGGAGGTTGAATTATGTCTCATGAAACACACACAGTTGATCTCCGCTGGTGATAATGTCAGTGGGAGAATCATTTGACCACAGCGCGGAACAAGAGAAGAAGATACAGCCGCAATTAAATAACTTATTTTGGGGTTTGTTGAATACACCAGAGGAGACGATTAGGAGTAGGTAATTTAAATATTAATAAATAAATGACTCTTCTTCAATTTAGCATATGATTAGGTTGTTTGTCTGTCAGTCAAGCTGCGTAGGGAGCCCCCTGCTGGAGAAGTATGGTAACAGCATTATCCTCCTCTACTTTATCAGTCTGCATTAAGATTTTGACTGTAGTCTGTTCATTGCTATTCACCCGGTGTCCCATTGTCTGTTTCATGGTGCTACGACAGGACCTCTCTCCTCTCTCTCTCAATGTGGGTCTCTCGAGGTTTCTCACTTTTTTCCTACTTTGTGACATTAAACACGCTAAACTATCTAAAAATCTCTGTGAAATCTTGGAAACACAAATCTTGATTGATTAAGAAAAGTATTGATGATTAGTAATGAATAATTTACATAAATATAAAGACAGTACCTTCCACTGCGGCAGGTGGCGCAAGCGAGGCATGCTGGTCAGACAGCCCAGGATCCAGGACAGCTCTGTGTGTTCAGACACCTGCAACAACCAGCAACACAACCATCAACACAACCATCACCACAACCATCAACACAACCAGCAACACAACCATCCACACAACCATCAATACAACCAGCAACACAACCATCCACACAACCATCCACACAACCATCAACACAACCATCAACACAACCATCCACACAACCATCAACACAACCATCAACACAACCATCACCACAACCATCAACACAACCATCACCACAACCATCAACACAACCATCAACACAACCATCACCACAACCATCAACACAACCATCCACACAACCATCAACACAACCATCACCACAACCATCAACACAACCATCAACACAACCATCAACACAACCATCCACACAACCATCCACACAACCATCAACACAACCATCAACACAACCATCCACACAACCATCCACACAACCATCAACACAACCATCCACACAACCATCACCAATACACTGTGTACATGGTAAACACATACATGTATATAACATACATGGTTCATATATAACTGTATAATGTCTCACACTTGGACATTCTGTTGTGTCCTGTTGAAGACACTGTGGAAACTGTTTGGTGCCCCCATAGCACCCCCACCTGGCAGACTGAAGAACTACACTTTAACAATGAAAGTGCTCAAAGAATAATAAAGAAAAGGGTTTGGCCGACTCTTGTTTCTTTGACAGAATTAAATTTATTTAATGGTAACAATTATAAGATAACACAGACTTTACTGATCGACCCAGATTCTAAACCCAGAATCTAGACCCAGAATCTAGAACCAGATTCTAAACCCAGAATCTAGACCCAGAATCCTTTTTGCCATATTTAGATACAGTTTGTAATAAAGTGTTTTTTTTTTTCTTGTCTGTGTTGATCTGAACCTCAAGTCTGCATTAAAGTTATGAAAAAAGATAATAATAATAATATCCGCTGACGTCCGGGAGCCTTCTGGGGGGCATGACATCAGCGCTTCAGGGAGATAGAGCAGAACTTCAGGCGGAGTGTGGGGGGCGGTGTGCATTACGCCGGGACAGGACAGATGTGAGCAGAAACTCTAGTGTTTAAGGGTTTTACGAAAGACAAGGCATCTATTCACAGAGGCCAATCCAAACGTTACGGCTAATTATGTATATCGCACTGGACACCGATAGCCCACCACCCGGCTGCGTCCGAATCACAATCTGTAATTTGACAAGCTTGATAAAACCATAGATGAATTCCTATAAAGATCTATTTTAATCCCGCTGATCCACTCATTTTATAACTGTAACTTCAGCCAGTGGAGACTCCTGCTTGGGGTAAAAGTCAGTGTTGTCTTTGGGCAGTCCCCATATTTTGACATGTGTGTCGGACTGTTGCACTGCAGGGTCACCTCACTGCCAAGTTATGTGCCATGAAGCTAAATATGTGTAAAAATAGGGTTGTGTGAAGGGTACGGGGAGGGCAGACCAACACAGATGGACCAAACCCAGCTTTTACAACACTGTTGGCCTTTGGAATTTAAATAAAAACCTCAGTTAAAGGATCAATTTATTATATGGACCTAGAATCTAGACTCAGAATCTAGACCCAGAAACTAGACCCAGAATCTAGAGCTAGTATCCTTGACCCAGAATCTAGACCTAGAATCTAGCCCTAGAATCTTGACCCAGAATCTAGACCCAGAATCTAGACCCAGAATCTTGACCCAGAAACTAGACCCAGAAACTAGACCCAGAAACTAGACCCAAAATCTAGACCTAGAATCTTGACCCAGAAACGAGACCCAGAATCTTGACCAAAGATCTAGACCTAGAATCTTGACCCAGAAACTATACCCAAAATCTAGACCTAGTATCCTTGACCCAAAATCTAGACCTAGAATCTAGACCCAGAATCTAGACCCAGAAACTAGACCCAGAAACTAGACCCAGAAACTAGACCTAGAATCTTGACCCAGAAACTAGACCCAGAATCTTGACCCAAAATCTAGACCTCGAATCTAGACCTAGAATCTTGACCAAAGATCTAGACCTAGAATCTTGACCCAGAATCCTCACCCAGAATCTAGACCCAAAATCTAGACCCAGAATCTTGACCCAGAATCTAGAAAATCTAGACCCAAAATCTCACCTCACTGCCAAGTTCTGTGGCATGAGGTTAAATATGTGTAAAAATAGGGTTGTGTGAAGGGTATGGGGAGGGCAGACCAACACAGATGGACCAAACCCAGCTTTTACAACACTGTTGGCCTTTGGAATAAAAAAAAAATGAAAATCTCAGTTATTGGATCAATGTTTATACAGCTCTGTGACAAATTGCTGGTTTAAGCACAGAATATTACATTATTATTATTATCATCATCATTAATATGATACGTTGCACTGACAGACATGATTTGGTCCCATGCAGTGTCTACTCTAAACTTAAAGGCAAAGCTGAGCAAAGTTTGCCGAGGTGCATATTTTGATAGTTTCTGTGAATGTGAGTGTACAGTAGAGATAAGGATCTGCTCTGATGAAATGTGCGTTTCTGGGCACGTTAACAAGTCGGTCAATAAACACACACAGCAGTTGACAGCAGAAAAATAAACTCATGAAAACCAATAAACCAAGGCTTTCTATCCACACCCACCGTCGACTCCTTCAGCACTAAAAAGCCACTTTAAAGATGATTAATGATTGCATTTTTCACGTTTCAAAATCAAAAAAATAAAGCACATTAAAAAAATTGTCATCGTTCAGGAAAGACAGAACTTACTTTGCCACAAATTAATGTAATTAATGCCACAAATGTAACTGCAGATGTTGTAAAGAAGTTGTGATTGATGGATAAATAATACAGTTATACACTTATGATGTACACAGTACAGAACGTTAAAGAGCGACTAAACACCTGTGCCCAGCCTTACTCCGCCCACATGAATATTTGAAAATGTTCTCTAAAAAGGGCGTTGCCTGGAGGACCAAGGGACAAGAAGGGGGGCTTAGAGTTGGGCGTGGTCTGGGCTGTGATTGACAGCTCACTTGTCACACAAAAAAAAAACAGACAGTTGTCATTGCTGCTTAAAGCAATAGTTTACAGACCAGAAAATCTCATTCCACCCTTGTTTACACACTAAGATAATTGTAAAGCTACACACCTGAACCTAATCACACTCAATAATCTCAGAATGACTCATGTAATTTAATTTTAATCCACTAGATGGCGCCAGAATACTCCAAACTGCAGCTGGGGCGTGTGTGAGAGTTGAATGGGTTCACATCACTGGCTCTGACCAGTGGCGGAGCCAGACTTTTAAACAGAGGGTGGCCAGGGGGTGGCAAGGGTTTTTTTAAGGGGTCCACATTTATACTATTCCAAAATTTTATTTCACACAAAAACTGGCTAAACGATACATTTTAATCTTAATCTTGTCATTGTTTTTAATATAAAGTGAACTGAGAGCACACTTGGAAACTACAAAGCAAAAAAGTGTATTTAAATAGTAGTCTGAACAAAAAAGTGCAAAATAACATAATTGAAACATTGCATTACATTTTTCTTTTAACAAATTTAGCAAAATCCTTTGGTTCTGGTGTAAAGCAGCAAAGATGTTGACAAACTCATCCATATTCAGCCCTGAGCCTTCCTTGACCCTACACTGAGGATTCCAAGATGACTCAATCATCTGCCATAACAGTTCTGAGATGGTTTTTAGGGCAGAGAAACTTATTTCACAAGACGCAGTACTGACAGGTATTAAAAAGATCTTTGCAAGCCTCAAAAGCTCATGAAACACTTTCCAAACGTTCCAAAAGGACAAGGAAGTCCAATAGGGACTCTCTAATCCATTTTTTCCTCCCAAGAAGCCGCCTAGTTTGACGTACCTCATACCTCGTCCTCTATATCTGACTCAAAGGTTCTGCCAAATGAAAACAGGGGCTCTTCTTTCAAAAATATTTTGGGGTCAAGCGACTGCACATCATCCATAATCTTAGCTATTTTGTTTCTTTTTTTGTGTGTGAAAAAACGCCTTCTGCCAATAGACAATCCTGCACCTGTCTGCGACTCCCTCTCATTCTCTGAAACTCAATTATATAAGCTACACAACAAATTCCTCATCATCTTAAAACATACTGCCTCCGAGTCTGACCTTCAGGTTTCATCATCCTGATCTACAGGCCTTTTCCTAACAAAAAAAGGCCTGTAGGCAATGTTTCCTCCTTTTCTTTTCATGTTTACACTAAAGGGAAGAGGGCAATGATACGATGGGCAATTAATAATGGAAAATACACACGCATGCACCCCGCACGCACACACAGGCACGCACACACGTACACAGGCACGCACACACACACTGGCACACACAGGCACGCACACACGGGCACGCAGACCCACACTGGCACACACAGACACGCACACACGGGCACGCAGACACACTGGCACGCTGACACACGCACACAGGCACGCACACACACACACACTAAAAGTTCTACAAACTGAACAAGTAATGCGCTGCAGTACGTGTGTCTATACTTTGTGTCAAATGTAAACGGTTGGCTCTGCATCACTAACTTACCTCTTTGTTTTCATCACGACTTGGGCACACCTGAGTCCAACAACCCAAAGCATTAGCATACAGCACCACACGGAGTCAGGGTGCGTTCACAGACGGGGGAAACCGTGGGAATTTTTAGCTTTTGGCGGAAAAAGTGCGGAAGATTCTCAAGATTAACATTATTACATTGCCGTCTTCCGAGGGGGGCACTGGGGGTGGCAAGGATATTTTTAGAGGTGGCAGTGGCCACCCTGGCTACCCCTCTGGCTCCGCCACTGGCTCTGACAGACTGACGTCACACAAAACAACTGATGTCATAGAGAACTTCAGAGTCAATGGAGAGGCCAGAACCAAATTCAAATGTAGTACCACCAAAAAGGTTGAGAGGGCACCACACAGTGTTTTTTGGCTCAAAAGTGATATTTTATCTAATTTGAACTAAAATGTCAAAAATGACCAGGATATGTAGACAGCACTACAATAAACATACTTATGCAGTTTATGAGTTAAAAAAAGTTGATTTGGTGTTTAGTTGCTCTTTAAGTTTACATGAGTGCATGGGACCCATCCTTCCAAAAGCATTAGGCCGACAGGTTCCATGTCTAACTCTAAAGCCTAGCGTACATCGACAGAGAAACTGGAGACAACTAGTTGCAAGGCGGCTTTTGGCAACTGAGAGGAGACGGTGGGAGATGATCAGTTGCCGAAATCGGTCGATGTGAGCGCTCTTACAACTGGAGATGAACAGTCGGTCTCCAGTTTCAGTCAGTTGCCCGTGTTCTACTTTTCGGCAACTAGTTGTCCTCAGTTTCGGAGATATGACCCGATGTGCGCGCTCCATGCGCCGCTCCGACAACGTGTGTGTATTGCGTGTATTGCGAGCCCGCAACAGTTTATGTCAGAAAACACACTGTAGTTAAGGCCAGTTGCTGTCGATGTACGCGCTGTTATTCCCGAGACTGGTCTGATACTGGGAGTTGCCCGTTTTCGTCAGATTGTCGATGTGTGCGGGGCAGCAACTCATATGCGACGGATATAATCAGTTGCCAGTCCGATGTACGCTAAGCTTAATAATGTGTGCGTCTCAACATGAGGACCCAAACCCAGAGCGTCCCGACTCCAACAGCTCCTCACCTGGGACTGCTGGAAGAGGATGGCCTTGTGCGGGTCGATGCCACAGGCCAGCAGACTGGCCGCCATGTCCAGGACGTTAGCTCTGAGCTGATGCGGCTCCTGCGGCACAGTGATGGAGTGAAGGTCCACGATGCTGAACACAACCACAGGGAACTCATGCTGCAGTGACACCCAGTTCTCCAGAGCCCCCAGGAAGTTCCCCAAGTGAGGGACCCCTGTGGGCTGGATCCCAGAAAAGACCCGGCCCCCCACAGAGGCCTCCTGGAAAAGAAACAAGGAGTGATTATGGCACTCCATGGAAAAATATTGGCATTTGCTTCATACAATTAGCAAAACAAAGTACTTTTTAGTTTCCAGTTGTAAATGGTGCTGATGATTGAACCAAGTTCTACAAACTCTAGGGTCGACTTTTCGATCCACAGAGGCTCAGGTGTCAAACATAAACCACTTTATTTAAATGATATTAGTCCATGTCCCGCACCTCTGTTCTCTCGCACACATTCAGCACAAAACACCAGCCCCAACAGTGACACTGAGTCCAAATGGACGAGTGACAGAGGAAAGAGGAGCCGATGGAATGGATCAAACACACACGAGGCGACCGACTGTTTATAACACGGGATTCAGTTTGTTTCCTTTTCCCGCTGCAGACTCGGGCCGAGACTAAACGCCTCATTTCATCTGACATCAGCTGGTTTCAGTGAGGCTCCGTGTTTCGAGGCTAAATCTCACTCAGCACGAAAGACACCGCTGTCATGAATCATGTTTAACTCACTGTATGTTTGGGTTTGTAAAACACCAGAATGCAAGATTCAATTAGAAACCTCAAGTTAAACTACACACAGACCATGTTTGGACCCGTGCACCTTGATCGTAGATTCTGTTTGAAAGGAATATATAAACATTCTGGATATACATGAATAATATCAGTCATTATGTGGACGGATGGAGACATGGCAAATATTACTGATTTTATTATGATTAAACAATGACAATATATTTCCAATGTGTATCAACTACACGCTCCTCACAGCAGCAGGAGAACCATTGATTTGAATGTCATTTCAAAACATTACCGGTCATTATTTCTTGATCACCGACCTCTCCAATAATGTTATAATAATACTTACTCCCAGCATAGATAGTCAGAGCGTAGATACTCCGAGCGTACAGTGCCTTGCGAAAGTATTCGGCCCTCTTGAACCTTTCAACATTTCGCCACATTTCAGGCTTCAAACATAAAGGTATAAAATTTTAATTTTTTGACACAATCGTGAAGTGGAACGAAATTTATTGGACAATTTAAACTTTTTAACAAATAAAAAACTGAAAAGTGGGGTGTGCAATATTATTCGGCCCCTTTACTTTCAGTGCAGCAAACTCACTCCAGAAGTTCAGTGAGGATCTTTGAATGATCCAATGTTGTCCTAAATGACTGATGATGATAAATAGAATGCTCCTGTGTGTAATCAAGTCTCTGTATAAATGCACCTGCTCTTTGATAGTCTCAGGGTTCTGTTTAAAGCGCAGAGAGAACCATGAAGACAAAGGAACACACCAGGCAGGTCCCAGATACTGTTGTGGAGAAGTTTAAAGCCGGATTTGGATACAAAAAGATTTCCCAAGCTTTAAACATCTCAAGGAGCACTGTGCAAGCAATTATATTGAAATGGAAGGAGTATCGGACCACTGCAAATCTACCAAGACCCGGCCGTCCCTCCAAACTTTCATCTCAAACAATAGGGCTGAAACAACTAATCGATTAATCGACGACTAATCGATTATTGAAATAGTCGACAACTATTTTAGTAATCGATTAATTGTTTTCTGGTTCACACGGACTCAAACAGAGCAAAAATGACATGAAAATGTAGTATTTTTGATTAAAACCGACTTTGTTTTTATAATTTCATGAATATCTGTCTGTCTCATCCAATCAGAGCAGAATTAGCACAAAGAGCCTGTTACAAACATTTACTTTGGGTTTACGCCATCAATACGTCCAAGTGTTGCCACTTTAGCTTTTTGTGATGAAAAAATATTTTTTTTCTACACAATTCACAGCCAAGCGATTACTCGATTAATCGTAAAAATAATCGATAGATTAATCGATTACAAAATAATCGTTAGTTGCAGCTCTATCAAACAAGGAGAAGACTGATCAGAGATGCAGCCAAGAGGCCCATGATCACTCTGGATGAACTGCAGATAACTACAGCTGAGGTGGGAGAGTCTGTCCATAGGACAACAATCAGTCGTGCACTGCACAAATCTGGCCTTTATGGAAGAGTGGCAAGAAGAAAGCCATTTCTCAAAGATATCCATAAAAAGTCTCGTTTAAAGTTTGCCACAAGCCACCTGGGAGACACACCAAACATGTGGAAGAAGGTGTTCTGGTCAGATGAAACCAAAATCGAACTTTTTGGCCACAATGCAAAACGATATGTTTGGCGTAAAAGCAACACAGCTCATCACCCTGAACACACCATCCCCACTGTCAAACATGGTGGTGGCAGCATCATGCTTTGGGGCTGCTTTTCTTCAGCAGGGACAGGGAAGATGGCTAAAATTGATGGGAAGATGGATGGAGCCAAATACAGGACCATTCTGGAAGAAAACCTGTTGGAGTCTGCAAAAGACCTGAGACTGGGACGGAGATTTATCTTCCAACAGGACAATGATCCAAAACATAAAGCCAAATCTACAATGGAATGGTTCACAAATAGACGTATCCAGGTGTTAGAATGGCCAAGTCAAAGTCCAGACCTGAATCCAATCGAGAATCTGTGGAAAGAGCTGAAGACTGCTGTTCACAAACGCTCTCCATCCAACCTCACTGAGCTCCAGCTGTTTTGCAAGGAAGAATGGGCAAGAATTCCAGTCTCTCGATGTGCAAAACTGATAGAGACATACCCCAAGCGACTTGCAGCTGTAATTGCAGCAAAAGGTGGCGCTACAAAGTATTAGCGCAAGGGGGCCGAATAATATTGCACGCCCCACTTTTCAGTTTTTTATTTGTTAAAAAAGTTTAAATTATCCAATAAATTTAGTTCCACTTCACGATTGTGTCCCACTTGTTGTTGATTCTTGACAAAAAAAATATTTTTTATATCTTTATGTTTGAAGCTTGGAATGTGGCGAAATGTTGAAAGGTTCAAGGGGGCCGAATACTTTCGCAAGGCACTGTAGATACTCCGAGCACAGATAGTCCGAGCGTAGATACTCCGAGCGTAGATAGTCCGAGCGTAGATAGTCCGAGCGTAGATAGTCCGAGCGTAGATAGTCCGAGCGTAGATAGTCCGAGCGTAGATAGTCCGAGCGTAGATAGTCCGAGCGCAGATAGTCCGAGCGCAGATAGTCCGAGCGCAGATAGTCCGAGCGTAGATAGTCCGAGCGTAGATAGTCCGAGCGTAGATAGTGTTGTATTAAATATAGACTAAAGGCAGATGTGAATTTGATTGACCCGGAATTGAACTCTGTCTCTTTCCCAAGCAAAAAGACCTGGTCTCCCCTTGTTCCTTGGTAGTCCAAAAGTGCAGAAATATGAGTTAATGATTTAATCTGGGGGGATTCTGCTAATCCTTTCGTTGTTTGAAGAAGGAGGTGGACCTTGAAAAGCCTCCTGTCTTATCTCAAGGAAGTAATATTTCTATAGAATTAGGGAGGGGTAGTGCATGAATGATTTCTGTTTAGGTCTGGCAGACGGAGGAAAGGCCGGACCCTGGACCGGAAGTTGCCTGATACTACACGCCCCCTTCTTCCTGGACATCTGCTCTTTTTATGCTTAGGCTGGAGGCTTGGAGTCAGTCAGAGCAGGGATAGAGACAGAGAACATGGCAGAGCGCCTGCATGTTCTCTGCACATTTTCAGACCTGGAGGGAAAGTTTTTAGGATGGCTCAGCATAGGGTTAGTTTTAGAGAATTAATGGCTCCAAGGGTTTTGTATCAATATTTAATTGTAAAGAGAATTAAATGTTCTATTTTTAACTCTTGCATTCTTGGCCTTATTTCTGTATCAAATTCTGAACACGTCAGTCAAATTGCTTTTGACGACAGATGGTGACCCTCGACGTGATTTGATACAGAAAGAAGACGCAAGATGAGCTCAGATAGATAGACTGGGTCTGTTGGGTCTTGGGGCTCTCTACTCTGCAAAACACAGGTAAGCAGATACCATTTCTAAAATCTGCACATTGTTTTAAATAGAAGACAGAGAGATCTCGGCCCAGCATGATTGCAGCGTGGACAAGACCGCCGTGACGGGCGATTCTATCGGACGCGATAGAACAATAGTCAGGTTTTTTGACGTTTTTGAACCTTGAGGGATGTTGGTCTCTCTCTAAAAAAGAATATACAGGAAGACAAAGTCCACAGAGTTTACAGTGCAGAGAGGCACAAGTGTATAGTGAAAAAATAGGAATAGAATTAGAGAAATAGGGACAGCTTTAGGGTCAGAACAGGATAATAAAACCTTCTATATCCCCCGGGGGGCGGGAAAAAGGGTACATTTAAGCAGGAAAAAAGCCAAGTATTTAAAATGTGGATTCTGATAATAATGATCTGATTAATGAGGGAAAAAGAGCCACTTGGCTGTAGTATACGAGTTTCCATGTGAAGAAATGACCAGAATGATCAGTTATGGAAGTTTTTCTCTTATTCTGATGTAATGTTTCAATAGTTACAGAGGTATTAAAAAAAAAAAAAAGATCCGGCTGTACCTAGTGATGCATTGGTCATGTAAGCAAATTGTAATGTTTTCCATTACTGACGTATTTAAGGATAAAATGTAAAGTGTCGTTTGACGTGAGAAAAACTTTTACCACTGATTAAATCCTTGTCACGAGAAAAACGAGGGAAATGCTTGAAGCATACAGCACTCAGCCCCTCCCCTTTCTCTTTCTGTCTTTCTCTCTCTCTCTCGTGAAGAAAGAACTATTACCAAATATATTTTTTGTAGAGAATTACATTTATACACACGATAATGTTATTTTTTTATTTTTTTATTTGTTTATTTGACAGGGACAGTACAAGAAAACATTGCCAGCTCAGTGGCCGATGTTATGTACATAAGGCGTCTAGCCATAGGCTAATTTGCAGCCCCCGTCCCTGGTTAGGCTTTTCAAAGGGGTTTAAAACAGAACAGAAAGATGAAAAATCAGTAAAAGGCATCAAACAATACAACAATAAAAAGAAAGAGGAGAAGACATATCTGACCACTTCCCATCCCAAGTCCAGCCAAACTGTTCAGTGCTCACACTTTTGTTTGTTCTTTAGCCACAGCTTCAGCTTTTGTGAGAAAAGTCTCAGGTCCATTTGGGACTTTAGCTCCAGTGGCAAAGAGTTCCATAACTGTGTCCCTTTTACTGAGAACGCAGACTGACCCAGAGCAGTTTTACAAAACTTCACTCTGCAGTTCCCGCTGACTCCAGCTCTGGTGCTCACTCCTTGATTAGTGTATTTTTGTACTAACTGACACATTACAGACGGAGCAAGACCATTAAGACACTTGAATATATTTTTTATAAAAGAGAAACTGACGAAGCTATCGAATGTCATCATTACTGACATGGAGTCATATGATCACAGAACTTTGAGTTAGATTATAAAGAGGCATTATTTTATTTTTATCTCCAAGGCGTCTGGACAAGTTTTTTCCTACATTTTGGTGATATAAAAGTTAGAATGATC